AATGTTTTGATCTGTGTCAATCTGAGCTTAATTATTAAGTTTTCTTTAAAGCAAGAGGCAAAACTGTGTATTTTAATTTGGCCCCATACAAATACTGCACTCTTCAGACAGACGTCAGCTTAAGGATACAAAGCACAGCTAAATAGGGTTGAAAGTATGTTTAATGACCATGCACTAGAGACCTATGGTAAAAATAACTCGAATGAGAAAATACGTTTTTTATTGAGAAGGATACGAGAAGCCTTTAAAGCCTTTCAGCAGATATGATTAACCATGATATATGGTCTATCACTAACGATGCTGCCAAAGTCAATGTCTATCGGCTGTGAGAGGGAAATAATTTGAAAAGCCAACTGCATGTCGTAGGCAAAGGGCAGGCTTTGCACCCCGTAGCCAACCATGCGTCCCTCTGGTGTCTGCTGTATAAATACACATCTGCTCTTGAAAACGTGCTCGGTTATTCGGTAGAAATTCCACCGTGATTTTACCATTAATGGACAAACTGGGCTCAGCAGAAATGCGTGAAGTCACCAGTAGACTCTGGGATAGCAGAAGCGCAAAGGAAGATTTTCCCACGTGTTTATTGGGCCTGGGGTACATGTGTACATGAGAAGAAAGGCAGGGGGCAGGGGGGAAGAAGCTTTATATCCACAAAGGAAAAATACTAAACCAAAAAATTTTCATCCTGCGGGTGCATGCAGTAGCTGAGAACTGCTGTAGAAACCTGTCTCAAGAAGATATTTGCATGGCAAGTTTAAATGGCCCTACAAAAAGCATGTCTAGTTAATATGTACAGTGATTCTCTCAAACTAGGAATAAGCTAATAATCTATTAATAAATAAAATTGGATTAATATATGGCAAAATATTTTTAAAAGATACAATTATTTGTACAGAAGACACAGCACACACTTTAATAAGTCATGTGCCAGTGTCATAATTGGACTTGGGAAGAAAGTGACTTTCCTATGCCACAACAAATTTCTTTTTTGGTTTTTGTTTTCTTTTGGGTTTTTTTGTGTGTTTTTGTTTTTTTTTTCTTTTTCCAAATCAGGATAGATCCAAGACCTTTAACAAACTGTTCACAAACCAAAAGGCAGCCCCACTCCTGAACGCTTTCACTGCTCTTGGAGGTGGAAGCACTCTTCCAGACAGTGGGAAGCTCGGCTTCAAGCCCCTGCGAATCAGGCAGAGCAGAAATTTGAACCTACCACTTCCACTAAGCTCTTGGCTATTTCCAAAAGCAGCCAAATTTTCCAGCTTTGCCAGTAACTTTCAAACTTCTTTTGATTTACAGGCCCTTGAGTATTTTTTCTAACTCCTCCATAAGTGGAGGAGCCTGCCAAAAAATGACTAGTTAAGCAAATCAGCACTTTCCAAATCAACACAGAATAAAAAGAAGAGCTCCCAACTGTCTTTCGCAACCACTATGAGTTTGCTACTCATCTGCAGTGCCAATGCGTGTGTTAGAGCAGTGGCTCCCCCTCGCCACCCCCAGCTCGTTGCTCCTCGTGACCGTATCGTGCTGTCTATACGTTGTTAGCGTGCTGCCGCAGGGTGCCTCCGGCCATCATCCAGTGCGGTGCCGCTCACTCCCATGAGGTGAATGAGAAATTGTAAATGAGGTGCAAAGCTCTGCTTTTCTCTCCTCTTCCCCCTTCCCTGCAGCATTCACGTACTGTAAGGCAGCGCAAAGATGTATGAACTGCGAAAGAAAAGAAATTGGCTAAGTCAGTGGAGATGTTGGCGGTCTCAGTCATGATAGCTTGCCCTGTCAGAAGAGGAGAGCCCCCATTTCTCCATGCTTTCATCGTCTGCTTCTGGACACACGTACTTGCACTGGCTCTGGAGTCCGCGCAGCCCTTGGTAGCTTGTTCAGAGGAAAACGGAGGCTGGGTCAGAGATGCTCAGAGGGTGCTTGGCAGAATCACACTCAACTTCTTATCTAGCTTCTCCTCTAAAGGGCTTGTCCAGGTCCCCTAGGTGGTCATTTCCCTGCTTGCCCTTGCTACATATTTCCCAGTATAAAGCTACGTGTCTCTTGAGGAAAACTGAGCCCATCGCACTTGGTCCTACCCACAATGGACATGGAGAACTCGCCCATCACAGTCATCACTGTATCAACCTCTCAAGCCTTTGAAATCTCTCTCATTTTCCTTTTCTCTCTAGACGCAACAATGCATTCAGTCCCAATTTCTACGCCTGTCTTTGGACTGCTTTCCTCTTCATACTTTCTTGCTGTTTGTGCTGTCCTTTTCTGGACATGCTCCAAATTATCTGCACCTGTCAAAACAGGGTGCCCTAAATCAGATACAGAGTGCCAGCCTCATCAATTCGAGTGGAGATGGGCATAGTTACTTCCCAGGTCTTTCTTACGCACAATATTCCTGTTAATACCATCCTAGAACGCCACACGCTTTTTCTATTAAAGCAGCATCGTACTGCTGACTTGTACTTATTTAACATTCACTCTGAGAACAAAAAGTCCCAAACTAAGGAAATAAGTATATAAAATAACCCCCACCTAAAAACTGTTCACTTCAACAAAGGATTATTTCACCAGGTCACTCCTACTAAATCCCTCTTAGGACAGCAATAACACAGCGGGAACAACCAGCTTATAGTTGTTAAAAGTGTTTAAATTAATTGAAAGACTAGCAAGGACGTTTCATGTATCCCAAAGGAATTTTGTAGCCCACTGGATGTCAGATGAAAACCAGGACTTATATCCGCTTTGCATAATGGAAAAATCCACTGTGAAAGGCTAAAGCCTAAAAGTGAGGACCAAGTGCAAGTTTTCCATCATTGCTGTCTTGCATGGGCATTTTGGTTTCATTCAAAGACAAACTATTGACCACCTATGAAAAATAAACTTTTTTTTAATCATTCTAAAAGCAACTTAACACATAGATTTCCGACTAAAAGACAGTTACAGGGATTATATATGAAAACTGTGTGCACCGAAGAAATTTTTCTGGTTAAAAGAATCCAAGAATCACTTATATTGATACAAGAAGACCTCTGCTATCAACCAAGCAGGTTGCAGAGCTGGAGAATATCTTTGTGAAACAGAACAGAGAAAAATCTCAGTGCCAATGAGTGAGAGGAACTGGAACATCAAATAAATCTTTTCTCTCTCTTTTCTCTGAAAAATGGTAACTGAGGGTTATTTTGGTAGTAGGGTAGCCAGGTATGAATGGCAGCTCCTAGGGGTGCACTATGGGGGGCCTGAGGGAGGGCATGCTGCTTCCAGTGAGCGGCCACTTGGCAGTGGCAGGCAAATATGGATGTCTGCCTCTCAAACAAATAGGTAAAGAATGTTTTCATGCATGCTGTATGTAGCTCAATGTGCATTTAAAGAATTTCATGTGTATTTGTGGCAGCTTGTACTATAAATATACAGCAATAAAACTTTGACACCATACTACCATATCAGATACTCAGCACAGCTTCTGACAAATACGTACACTGAAGGTACTAGAACCACTTCCTTGGGACAAGAGGAAACTTTATACCATGCACCCAGCAGGTTAGTCTTTAGGGCAAAACAAAACAAAAAATCATTAGTTTGGTGGGTTTTTCTGTTTAAAAGTCTCTCTCTCTTTCTCTGCTGCCCTCCCTCTTACTCCCCTCATCTAGCCATGAAATTATTTGCTTCATTAATAGGAATTTAACTAACTAGTCAGCTACAGTTGTTGCTATAATTTTCTCTCATTGCACTTCATTGACTCTTTTTGCTGTGTTGTTCCCCAGCATCGTTTATGCCTTCTGTCCTAGGTACTGTAACTTAAAACTATCGTTTGCTTGCACAGGGACTATTACAAAACTTTTAGTGGGGAAATTTCACCCCAACAAATTGTTTTCTGAAGTTGCCACAAATCAGCCAACAAGTTGAGGCATTAGCGTCCCAAGAGCCCTGCATCGTCCTTTTAACATCTGAGCCCAGAAGGACTTCTGCTGTGCTCCCAACCTCTCCACCGCGAGGAGCATCCCTCTTGGAGGCAGCTCCCCACCATGAAACAGTCAGTGCCACCAAGCTGCCTGCCCTGTGCTGAAAATCGTCTGTGCTCAGGCAGTTATCATCATAAAAGTCCTTGAAACTGAACTGCTTAATACAATTCAAACTGACAAAAAAAGAGAGAAGGAAAAAAAAAAGCTTCTCCAGCAAGCTAACTCTTTACTAACTCTCGGTTAAGCTTGTTTGAAGTTCCTTCATCATCTTGGCAGCTCCCCACCATGAAACAGTCAGTGCCACCAAGCTGCCTGCCTGTGCTGAAAATCGTCTGTGCTCAGGCAGTTATCATCATAAAAGTCCTTGAAACTGAACTGCTTAATACAATTCAAACTGACAAAAAAAGAGAGAAGGAAAAAAAAAAGCTTCTCCAGCAAGCTAACTCTTTACTAACTCTCGGTTAAGCTTGTTTGAAGTTCCTTCATCATCTTGAATCATAGCTAACTTAAGTCCTCTGTATGTTTACCACCACGTTTTTCAGTTTACAAAGAGAAGAACAACACACTGCAATTGGACTGGAGTAAATAATAAATGTCAGTTTATAAAATACAATAACAACTTGAAGAGAACATGAAGGCAATTCAGCAATTGCTTAACGAGTTCAAGGAGGAGACTTTTGACATGCTCAAGCGCACATAATAATAGACTTCAATATCTTTTGTGCTCTAATGGGAATTACCAAAACATTTATTGCATTATAAAATGTAAAAGGAAAGCTCACCTATTATAAAGTAACGCAGAGCATTCTACAGGCAGACCTCATTACAGTACTTTTTACAGCATACTAACAAGAAAATTTCCATGCTTATTACTGCAGGGGTACTTCTTCACTATGAAAAAAAAAAAGAAGTATGCACATTTGTGTGCAACTACGTTCAGTATTGTTAAATAATCCTTTGCTCACAGGCAGGCTCTTGAGCTTCGTGATCAGCAACGACCAAAGGTGAGGCACTGCGACTGGTCAGTGATGGACTCTCTTTTCTCCTCAGCACACAGCTGTATTGCCATTTGCCGTCCTGGAAATCCTTGCCACACCGCACCGTTACCCAGCAAAGAAGAAGGGACTGATCCTATTAGGATTTGTCACTTTTCTGTATATCAGTTGGTAAGAATTACGTACTTTAAAATATTTTCTTCAAGTGATCTACTTTGTAAAACAAGGCCAAATGCTGTACTTAAATTCCCTCCCAGGCACACAGGAGACAGCAGCCTGTTCTGTGGAGAAGTCATTTAAACTTCAGCTGAGACCCATGAAAACTATTTCCAGACATAGGCAGAGCAGGTTTCCTCAAACACAGTACAGGTCCTGAGACTATACATAGTATCTCCTGCTCTTCTAAGGCCTCTTATAGAAAAACAACTAAATTGTCATAAACTCTGGGGTACTTTGAGTTATTTCAGCTGGGCTGGAGTTTTATTTCTACCAGTGCCATCAAATTTACCTCCACTTGCTGTCTTGCTCACTGCAAAAACACCAAATCTCAAAGGTCTGGGGGTCACGGGAGCAGAAGAGGAGCAAAACTCAGTTTGGTATTTGGCAGGGACACATGGCTGGGCTTAGAAACTTGAGATAGAAAATGATACTCAGAGCCAGGTGCAAACTGACGGGTAAGAAGGAGGCATGTGCCCCACTGCCACCTTCCACTCCACCGGTGGACACCGCCTACATTTCCAGCAATGCGCCACAGTTGATCTCCAACCTGTTGGAGGGTGATCCTAAGAGAATAAACTACATCTAACCAGCCCCCCCGCCCCAGCCCATGGCCATCCACCCACCTCCCCTGTGTGTGTCATGCACCCCTGGAGCTGGGTTTGCAATCGCTCCTGCTCATTGCATCCTGGCTGCAGTGCTGGGGTCTGGAGGCACTGCCTGCTCTCTTTAACTATGGGCAGCTGCCAACACTTCAGACCACTCTGAGGATGCCTTACGTTGAGACTCCACTCAGGAACAGGTCCGTATAGTTTCAGGGTACACTGCGATATCACTTTCCAGAGCTCAGGAAACACCCGGCCCCTAGGGTGGAGGATACAGAACAACTGGTCAGCAGGGAGGTGACTTGTCCTCATGCAAAGATTTCTGAGAAGTCACTGGGACTATAAGGGAACCCATCCTTCCCATTCCTACCCACCAGTTCTCACGTTCAGCTAGAGACTACCTTCAGCCCACCGAAAGAAAATCCGGAATAGAAAATAAACTGCACAGATGAAACACTCTTGTGACTTAAACCCCACCGGAGTGGCTGTGGACGCAATGGACTTCACTGCTACATTACGTAACCAAGTTAGGAGCCATTTATCCTGATCCAGCCCAGAGCCTAACAGGATTATGACCACGGCTTCCTAAATCCTTTTCTATGTTCTGGTTTACCCAGTTGCTTAATGCCAGCTTTGTTTTTCTTGTCTTCTGACAGCATTTGGTTCTTACTGTCTTTGAGACCAGACAGCTCTCCCAGCAGCTATTGCAGTCATGTGTGCCATGCTTTCCCCTAAAGCCCCTGTCAGCTGAGCAATTTCACCCTACAGGAGACACGGCTTATGCCAGGACGCGAATCCTCATCAAAAGATGAGGATCAACACAAGCATCAACGCATCTGAGCCCTCCCAGTATCTTCTTTGAATTGACATTACATGGTGCTGCTGGGGTCCCGAGTGAAAGATAGTCCCTTAGAGCGCTTGTCCCCTGTATCCCAGGGCCCCGATAACCAGATAAAAGATATTAGGCTTTCAATACTGTTGCTTTCTCTCCTCCTGAGGCAGCAAGGAACCTCCTGTCTGCTTTCTTTTTGCCTCCCTGTCTTGGTTCCCTGCAATCACAGACAACAGCTTTCAACTAACAAAAATTTTTTTCAGCCTGCGCACTGAAATCTTAACACGTGTACACATTTTACTGTTCGTGCTGCAACCTGGTAATTTAATAGCCGCATTTGGGCACCTTATGTTTCACAAACAAGAGAGTCCTTCCTAAAAGCCTCTCCTTGAACTATCACGGTCATCGCTGCGCGTCCCCTTCCCCAGAGTTGATGGGCTGAGAAGTGACTGGTCCCTGCAAGGCAGTAGAGAAACCGAGCAGCCAGTGACGCCCCACACCACGTACCTGCCTCGGTAGCTTTGAATATCCACAGTGTTCAAAAAGGAAAGGTGGCTTTCAGTTGTGGGACACCAGAGCCAAGAGAATCATTGGGCATGCTAGCTAATTCTTGCAAGGATGGATCTTGCATCTCCTGGGTGCATTAAGTAATGCCTTACTCCTGGAGTCATCACATTGAAAACAGCGAAGAATATATAAATGTTAGAACTGGCATTTTAAATCTTAAAAAGGAAGTAACAATAGGTTGCCCTTTCCCATTTCAGTGGTAATAGGTCGGTGTAAAATAAACCTTAATCTTCACAATTTTGTATGTGTCTTTGGAGAAAAGTTCAAACTACCTTTGCAAGGGAACATAAATCATTATAGATCACACTCTGTATACGAAACTAAAATACAAAAAACCCCAAACCAAACTAAATCTAGAGACTGATGGCTTTCTTGTAATATGTCCATATTCCACCTCTGTTAGAAATCAAAGTATTTTTTCTTCACTACATACTCATTTTCAGTTCACAACCTTTTAATTTTGAATTAACAACAGTCTCAGAGAACTTACATGTGGCCAATAGGTTTTCTTCTCCTTTCTGTATCTTCCCATTTAATAATTCCCTAGAGATACTTTTTTTCCCCTTCAGAGAATGCGGTGGCCCCATCAACATTAATGGATGGGTAACGAGAGGACAGGATAAATCCCCCAGTTGCGTCCAGCTGTACTGTGACAGCACATCACCTCTGCCTGGTATCTATATGCTGTCCTCTATCCTATAGCAGTTTGGCAACTTTGGTTATACCCAGGGCTGTTATCTCAATCTATCCTTGCCATAATTCTGGTGGGCCTTGTCTGCTTCTGACTAACTCACTCACTGATATCCAAGGTAAAATCTTGGTAAAAATTGAAATTTGGTGAAATGAAATCTTCAGAATAATAAACCTCTGAATCCTGTATGTATATTTAACAGGTGATTACCCATAAGAAACGAGCAATATGTATTTGCAAGTTGTGGGGTGCATTTTATGAAATCCCTAGCAGAAAAAAAACCAAAAAACTAAAATCAAAAACTGTCAACCATTCTGTGATAAAAATGAGTAAGTTCAGGAATCTGGAGGTATGCCCCAAGATAAAAAACCTGGCAACACACAGCTCCCACTAAGTCAGAAAGCTGAAATTGCTTTAGTGCTCCTGCATAGTCATTTGCTTAGGTTTACAAATACGGGTTGGAGTGGTTCATATGAGGCACGCCAGCTGGCCAGATTGCATCAAGGTAATCTAGTTCCTCATTATATAAAATAAGGGCGGTTGTCACTCTCTGTTTTACTGTTTGAGACACATTAAGATAATAGTAGCCCTGTGCAGTGAAGAACACATGCTGACATTTGCACGGGCTCCAGTTAGCACCCGGTCTTCAGTATTTCTACTCAGCCTCCCTGTGGCCTTTTGTGCAGGCTTTTTTTTTTTTTTTTTTTTTTAATTACTTAGCTGCTTCCAACCCCTTTTTTTTTGTTGAAAAAACCCTAAATCAGGA